TGAGAAGAAACTTCAACATCTAAGAAATACAAACCATCATGTACTTTATCACTGCCAATCATTGTTCTCGATTCCAATTCCTAAAACATACCATTGTATGGAAAAAGAGTCACTGAACAATTCAAAAATTTTGTAATATTACTAACAGACAATAAATTAGTGAAAAAATTTGGGTTATGGAGACTGAACAGAGGGATAAGGTGGATGAGTAATTAATTGAACTTTTCCAAAAATAGAGGATAAAGGCATATTGGTCACTTTGACTTTATCCTTACCAAAACGTGTAGAGTATAAAGAGAAAAGATTAGAAGAATTTGTCACGTGTTCCATGGCTCTAGAATCTATTATCTAAGGAATATTTGAGGATGATGCAGTAAATACACTAATAGATATACCTAGATGAGTAAAGTTGGAAGAAGATGCATGATTAGGAGTTGTAATAGGGAAAATGTCAAGCCGAGCCATCAGGCGCCTACAAGTTTGCAAATTATCCTAGGAAAAATTAGTAGGACTGGTGTCACTAGATTAGGATGGGGAGTTTGAAGATTCAGTCATGTATGCATAAGATCGCACACTACCTCCTCAGCCATCACCTTGCTTACGAGTTGGACGTCCAGTCAACTTTTAACAAAACTCTCTAGTATGTCTAGTCTTCCCATAATAATCACACTTCAAAAGGTATCCTTGGCAACAGTTTCACTTGACTGAGTAGACTTGGACTGGACTAAGCTCGAGTCTCTCTGAGGAATAATAGCTAGTTCATATTGTCCCTGAATGGCAATATGAGGCAGAACAATCCTCTGGTTCTCCTCGTGTTGAATATAAGCATAGGTCTCTCGTAAGGTAAGAAATGACTATAACCTAGATTTAAACCCGAATCTGATCATACTCAATATTAGGACCAGTAAAAGAGTCATACACACGTTCCTTCTCTACCTTCTGTCGAAATTTTGAAGCATCATGTGCACAATCTAGATGAAAACTCTGATATTAGTTAAGTTCCTGCCACGAGGTAGTCAACTCTGCATAATAAACTGTGAAGGTCTTATCTTTTTGATTAGTCTCCCAAACTTCCTTTGGAAGATCATATACCTTACCATCGTTGTCCTTTGAGAATATGTGTGAGATACAACAGTCTAAATCTTATGCAACAATAAAAAATCACAACTGATAGAATTTTGCAATGAATTAAGCAACCAAGATATCGCTAAGGCATTGTCAAATGTCCACTATTTTAGTGGAGGACCGGTCTTAGTAGGTTTCTTAGTCTCCCAGTCAAATACTCATCCAAAGAAATGGCTTGAACTGATAACAAAAAAGCTCATGACCATGTCAAATATTTTTTCCCATCTGATCCCTCCAAACTAATTTCAATGCAAGAGCACATAAACTACTCAACCCATTTTTCTTGTAATCACCAGAAATCACAACCCAGGGATTTATGTGCAATCGGAGTAGTACCTCCTATAACTCCTAAAGAGTTTATTTGCAACAATAGCAGCCCAATAGTGGTGGAATAGTAATTATCGAGGCAAGAAAAGACCCAATTGCAGTCAAACAATACTGCTGACAGTGGAAATTGGCACAAAAACCTCACCAAGCCTCGTAAAACCACTCCAAAGTGCAACAAAACCTTGTGGGCATCATAGATCTTCCCTAGTCGCACTTTACCAAGCAGATTTGAACCAAAAATTACCTCCAAATTCCTCAAAAAACCCAGATTTGAGTTTGGTGCCAAAAAAAACCTAAAACACATTTGAAAATTTGAAAGTCTGGTCAAATGACTTCAAAAATTCCAAAAAGATTACCATAAATCTTAGGAGGGAAAATCGAATCAATCCATGTATTTTTTGACTTTTTTTGACAAGGTCGATGCCAACGTTTGCTTATCAGAAGCTAATGCCAACATGTTAGAATTTGACATCCGCATGTTAGAAATTGACAGCGATCTTTTTGCGCATATGGACAAATTTCTGATGAGTTTTGACGACTTAAAGAATTAGATTTGATTGTTGCCCTGATACCAAGTTAAATTTTAAGGTAACTAGTGTGTAGAGAAAGAAAAGAGAAGGATGAGAAGAAGAGAGAAACAATTATGAGAAGATAGCGGTGTGTTAGGCTACACATTTACACCCAACTTATATATATAAATACAAAGTACTACAAAACCCTTAGTCTAGAAATAAAGCATAACGTAATACACTCATTACAAATCATGACCCAAGAATTGGACCATGCCCAAGACACACTTCAAACGTAGCCAAACAGTTTCTGCACAACAGGCAAAAGCTAAATAGTAGCTTTGAAGGGAAAAACAATTCTCTGGAACTCGTATGAGAGTTGGTTTAACTGCCCTAACTATAGTTGAATATTTTTGAAATGTTAATGAATAAGATGTATTTCTATTTATAGACAATATCTTTCGTTTCGTCAAGCAAGATTCAAAGTATCTGTCTTATTGGGTAGAATGTCTTCTGCAGTTGCGGATCCACTCTTTTTTCTATTCAAAGATTAGCCCTTTGTCTCTGTGTTTTCACATCGAGAATTATTTGCAAATGAAAAGATGTCAAAAGGGCTTCTTATTTCTCAAATAAATCCTCCTATATCTATGTATAAACGTTGGTTTATCAAGAATACACAAGGAAAACACTTTGACTTGTGAATCACACTACTTGATTCACAAGGTTCTCGCCGGTTCTTACAAAATTTTTTATATATGCTGGACTCTGTTTGTATTGATAAGGGTCTTTCTTGAATTCAATTAGATGTCAACATAAATTAGTCATAACTATGTAAACCTATAATTAATAGATTGGCTCAAAAATAGCATATCCAAATTATAAGAAAGCCAATAGACGCCACTATTGCGGAATTTTTAAACAGCATAGATGTTGTAGATATGGCCTAGTAGCACTTTACCCAGTAGGATCGAACCAAAAACAACAGTTGGATTGCTCACAGAATGCATATCGCAGTTCGGTACTTCAAAAACTGAAAGACATTTGAAAATTCCAAAACCCAATTAGTTAGCTTCAAAAAATACCAAGTAAATCACCATAAATCTTAGGAGAGAGTTCGATCTTTCCATGTTTTTGCCGGAAATTTCCTGACAAGGTTGTTGCTAACGTCAGCCATTCCGATAATAAGTTTAGATGATTTTTGACGAGTTTTTGCAACTTTAAGGATTTCGATCAATGCTATGATACCAAGTCAGAACATTAAAGTTTTGGGTTAGAGAGGGAGGAGAGAATACAAGAAAGAGAGAAGAGATGACGCGAAAGGCAGTGTATTAAGTCTTCAGCTTACATATAAACAAAAAAGTAGTAAAATACCCTCAAACTACATAAACAAAACACATGACATGACAATTTTTTATTTTGTTCTCTTTGACAGACCCAATAGAAGATTGGTCTTCTAAGTCTACTTTGCCAGTTTACTCTTTGGTTTCCCCTTTTTAATGTGCATTCTGATGTTTAGTGTATGATGCACTTTGAGTTTTGCAGCTATTACTCTCTCTCTCTCTCTCTTCCAATTATCATAACATGAGCTATGCGTATAATTTCACCTGTTTGCTATATCATAGTGAATCATTCCTCTTTTTTTTCCCCTTTTTCATAACCATATTTCTGCCTGAAGGTTGGACCTGGATCGGTTTTGCGTGGTCCCTTGGAAAATGCATACGCTGATGCAGTGTAAGATTAGATTCCCTGTGTTCTGTTTCTATCATTTGCTATTTGATTCTGGTGAATATTCATATTAAATGCATTATAGGACACCAAAGTTGAATTGTGAATTTCAAGATTGTCCCATTGAACTGCTTCAACCCCCTGAAGATTGCAATGTGAACTCTTCACTGTCCAATAAATTAGATAAGATTGTATGGTGGTATGTACGGATATTTTTTTATGTTAGTTTGGTTACCTTTTTCAATTCATTTGCTTCTTCAGATCTGCCAAGTTGATGATATCCTTGTTGAAGGCCTTATAGTAGGATCTGTTGTTCATTTCCATAGGCCGAGGACAATCTCGGTCCTGTCTTCTGGAACAATTAGCACATCTGGGATGAGTATGATTTGACCAGCTTTACATTGTTTGTTTGGTACATTGAACAGTACTGTTATGAGAGTATTGTGTTGAAAAACTGGGCAAAATTGATTACCTCTATTTTATTGTGTAAGATCAGTTACAGAATTAATACATAGCTAAACAGAGGTACCGTTTATAAAATTTTTGTAACGAAATTAACTAAATGTAAAACTTATTTTATTTCACAAACTTGTTATAGGATGTGTCGGTAAAGTGAAAGTGAGATTCATCTTTTATTTTCTCCTTTCCATTCACTCGAATCTCTTCCATTTCATCAGTTTTGTCCGAATCCTCATTTTCTTTCCAAAAAAGAAAGGGAACGTGATAAAGATATGAATATATGACCCAGACAACTTTTCATGTCCCATCCTCTTACCTTGCTGCTCTTTCTCCATACCATTGAACCTAAACCAACCTATTAATTGGTTAAGGTAAATGAAGGAACTAGACCCAGAGAATACGTGTTGGTTTTCATCCTTTGGAGACTATGAGTGTTTAAAATTATCCGTCTACAAAAGGATTATCATAAGAAGATCACCTCATGGCTGTTGAGAATAAATCAAATTAGATGGTTATATTTCTCAATATTTTTGACTTGTTCCTATGGAACCAAGGTCGAAAAAATTGAAAAAATCAGTCATTCACAACCATTGATAGACGATTTGTCTTTTGTTGTAAAAAAAGGGGACGTAATAAAGATATGAATATATGACCCTAACAATTCTGCTAGATAGAAATGTTGAACCTTTTTTGGCCTGATAGAAAAGTTTAGTTGGACTCACCTAAGCGACTGGATTTCTATGTTACCCATAATATGTGAAATGTCGACGTAATTTCATAATCTCATTTATTCTGGATGCTACATGAAGAATATAAACCAAACAAATGAACAAGAAATAAGTAAAGAAATTAAATCTTCTGTAAATGCCGATACACTTCATACCTCAAAACTGGACACAAATGATTAATGTCACATTGACCAAATTTTGAACCCAAATGACATCGTCTCCATCAGCTCTAACTGAACCGTTAACAATTTAACTTGTTTTTGACAGCTTTATTGATTTATGAACAACAGTACCATAAAAACTTATAAGAAGAATTATCTTCAGGTGCAAGTAATAACAATTTGTAAGTCGAGATGACAATCTACCGCCATCCAAATAGATCGGTCCAAACTTCAAAATCGAAGGGCAAAATATAAACCTACATCAACCATCTCAGATAATCCCCACCCCCCCCCCCCCCCCGGCGGGGGCTTTTTTTTTTGAAACTTCCAAGTACATAGTAGACACCGACAGCAAACAAAAAGAAATGCAGATCACCTGGTCCACCTCCAAAAGACAATAAGGATGATGATTGTCAATGCCATGCCCGTATATTTAATCCATTTATCACCACGATTCCGCCTCTCAATAAGCCGCATTACAGAATTTGACAGCCCCAGATTATTAAGTACATCCAACGCTTTCCGTTGCGCTCCCTGCATAAAGTCAATCCAATCAGTTGTCCATCAGCAGAAGTGAAACCGCTGATGACAACGCTAGGAATAAAATCGAGATATACCACTTCATTCAATTTCTTTTTTTATGCCTTATTAGTTCTCACCATTTAGGGGGGTGGTGAGTGTGGAGTGTTTTTTTCTTGGTGGCATCTGAACTTAAAAGCACCTATTACACTATCAGACGTACAGGGCAGAACAGATCTGAATCTCATCCTATTTTCATGCAGCAATGCTAGAAACTAGCGTGCTCCAAACAAAAACAACATTACAAACACAAAGTTTTTTATCTTTTTATCTTCCTTTCTTTTTTTTTTTTTTGGGGGGGGGGGGGTTGTGGATCCAGTCCACTCCTAAGGGTAAAGGAAAGAAAACCATCATGCAGCTGGTGATTCTCAACCCACAGCTTCTTAACCACTTTGGCATATTCACTTTGCTCAAAACAGGTATAAATTGTTCCCACCATCTTATGCAATGTTCTCAGCAAACTTTCTAAAATGATATCAGTCACAGAAAATGCGACAAGATTGAAATCACCAATGGATAGCAACATGAGAAAGATGAGGCATAAAAAGGAAGCAAAAGCAGGAAGCAAGGACATGGAATGGGTAGAAAATGCTGGAAGCATGAGGTGCTAAGAATGCACAAAGTAAATAATAGGAACTGCTAGCAAGAAACTGGCAGAAAAGAGTCCACGACCAATGGAAGCATCAATAACTAGGAAACACATATTTTGAGTAGGACATAATTTCTGATCTGTAAAAAAAAATTAAACTAGCACACTTTCTTTAACATGTAAAACAAAATTATAAAAGAAGAAGCATCAGAGGTCACTTGCTCTTCTTAAAAGCTCAGGCCAGTTTTCTAACAATGACAGTTTTTTGTTTTTAATTTCTAACATCACCAAATAGGAAAAACTAAAAGTCATCGCACACACAAGGTACATGCATAATAAATCCACCAACAACATCAAAATTAAATTCCACTAAAAGAGTAAGACACTCGGACTTACATCAATAATGTTTAACCATAGTTTAACTGACTGTTCAGTCCACCCTTCTTAGCACTATTGTTTAATAAGCACCAAAGTGATTCCAAAGGACAATTAGGCACAGGTGGTAGGAGTGCTATGAACTTCCGATGTTTTTTCCTCTTTGGTTTTTCCGTTATTAATGTTGCTCTTGTAGAGGACTCCTTATCCTCTCTTCTAATCTTTCTACTTGTTATCATTTACAATATCTAATGGTTTTCTCTAAAAAATAGTGTGAAGATATGCAGATGTACTTACTAAAAGCCTTGGTGGCAGATTTTTTTCATTCTCTTTTATGCAAGCTGGGCATGAGAGACATCTTTCCACCAACTTGAAATGGAATGTTAGCTTATAGTGTATAATAATACATGGGCAAAGAAGAGATGAATCCAAAAACATCTAAAGTTATGCTATCTTATGGACATAACAAATGTCACATTCCCACACAGCACGTGATTGAAAGCTCCAAATGAGTCTTAACACTTCTATATAAAACCCTATTTTGTATCACACTCCCTTCTTTTTTCTTTTCCTCTCTTCTTCCAGTGTAGAATTCCACTTTAACTATATTAGAATCAATGTACCACTGAAAGTATTCAGATATGAGCATTTGTATCTCCTGAATACTGCAGTGGTTTATGTGTATACGTATGTCTCTACAAATTTATGTATGGCCTTTGCTTGACTAGAGTTACCTTCAAGCGATCTCTTTGCTCGGCATACTTGCCGAGGATGCCGACTCCAGTTGCAAGAGATTCTTCCAGCATCCTAGATGAGTTGCGCGCAGACCGCATTGCTTGCTCCTCCTCATCAAAAATTCTCAAAATATGAGAGGATTCCCCATTCTAGTACAAAAAGCAAACCCATTAGATGGAAAAGGTACTTAAATGAGAAAGAATCAACACATAATATGCGACCATTCATATCATCCAAATAAAGGATTACATACAGCTCTTCCAAGCAATTCTGCTCTCTCTTGGGCTTCTTGCACCCGTCTTTGATTCCGCAAGAAGTACTTATCCAGACTATCTTTCAATGAGTCAGCCTCTTCAACTACTTGTTCCACTTTCCTATTTTTCAAAAAATATATATAACACATCAAGTGCAAATACAAGACAAGAAAAATGCTATCAGATACAATGTTCACAAGGACTACAGATCCTTGACCAAGACTATGGCCAAAAATAAAAGGAAGGTCAATTGTTTGGGTTTGTATCTCCTAGAGTCAACTTGTTTAATGATGTTAACATTTCAACTAACAAGCAGTTAAAAAAACCAGCTGCAGCAACTAGTCTCCACTATTCTTTCATAGTGCAATAAACCTTATCTAGCTTCACACAGCAGCTTCTTCAGCAAACATTCAGAATGTGCCCAAATCATTCACATTCCAAGAAAATCGCAAACCATATTGAACAAATCCAGGAATATCCACCAAAGAAAAACAACAAGAGATATAATTCTTTGGAATTTTGGGCCAATTTCAGATTTGCAACCATAATTTGAAGTCAATTCGAAAAATGCATCAGTAATTTGAAGCCACTTTGGAAAATGATGTCTTGGTCAACTGATAGTGGTCCACAACAGAATGGATTTAAGTAGGAAAAATCAGAGAACAATTTTGGGTCTAACCACCACCCACCATATGTAGTAATCTTTCTTCATCTTCCCACAACCTTTCGTTCTCTCAGCCAATGCATATAATAAGACCACGTAGGTATGACTTTCCTACTTCCACTGGCGACCTCCCAATCCAACTTATGAAGATATTCTGGAAATTACATGCAAATCACAGACACTAAGATATTTTCTCACCAAATACACATTTCAAAACAAATTCATCACAATCAAAAATACTAAACATACAACAATTCAAAACCAATGATAAACTACAAAACCCCAACATGACAACTCAGATTGAAAATCCACCACAAAATGAAGCAAACAAGAAAGAGTACAATAGATCATATAATTGATTGGCATGCATGGGTGCAAACATATAGATATGCATGCATATATCTAGGGGGAGAGAAGGGGGTGATTGGAATTGGACCTTTTCCAAAGATCGCGCTGTGACTTGGCGGCAACGGAGCGCCAAAGGCGGTCCATCTCGACACAGAGAGACTGGATCTGAACAATGTCCCTCTTGATGGCAAAGGAACGCTCCGGTGAATCGATGCTCGCATTGGACGAGGATGCCGAGAATTCGAGTCTTTCAAGCCTCTCCAAACCATCTCTAGTCTTCAACAATAGCCTCTTTGAACTTTGGTACAGGTCCGATAATGTGCCACCACTTGCTTCCATGGTCATCCCTAGAGATATCAAGAGAGACATCTGGCGTCAAAGAGAGAGAGAAATGGCCCGAGAGGATCCTTATCCTTTGAGAGAAAGTGAGAGCAACTCAAGTACATTAATAGCTTCTCATGAAACTGAGGTCACAAATGCCCCAATTCTTGAACATGGGACCACCATAGTTTTAAAACCCGGCCCGTATATCAATCTGGTGAAGGGACTGGGTCCATGGGTCACTGGTTCAACCGTTAGATCATTGGTCGGGTCGGCAATATAATAAAAAATTAAAAAATAATTATAAATAATAATAATAAATAGACTAAAAAATCACAATAATTATAAAAATAACATCAACCATGTAAAGTTAAATAGAGAAAAATCATCAAACATGTATCCAATTTCAATGTATTTAATTTTCAATACAACTTGTAAAGTTAAGTAGAAAAAAATACCTCTATGCTCCAAGTCAAAGTCCAACTCTTCAACAATGTATCAATCTAAGCATAATCCATGTAATTTGCACTCTTCAAAGTTTAAACTTCAAACTCAAACTGTAGTAAACAAGACACATGAAAACAAAACAAAGCACATGAGCATAGCATAAAGACTCAAATAAATAAAACTGAAAATAAATTAACTAATCTACAACCCAATTATATATAATGAACAATAAGAATCCCAAACAAGCCACAAGTTCAATACCACAATTCATAATGCTCTTACCGCAATAAACAATCCACAAGTTCACAATCTAAAACAAACATAAAACACACAAATGAAAAGTACAATACCACAATCCATAAGTTACAAGTGATATGAATCATTTATAAACTAACAGTCTGAGATAAAAAAAAAAAAATAGATCAGATTTGATACCAATATGGCAATATGAATTTGATTAGAGTGATTTAAATTTATTTTTTTGATCAATAGTCCTAATATAGTAATATGAATCATTTATATCATATTTCACATAGTCGGTTTTGAATATAACAACGCCCACTCCAATCGCAATATAATCCTAGTTACATTGATACGTATTTACATGTATGATAAATTGAGCAGTCATTTCATTAATCTTACTTGATGTTCATCCGAAATTTCCTAAAATTCAACTTAATTGAGTCCTTTGAATCAAATCGAAACCCAAATAAAAAAACCCATCTAATTTAAATTGACTGTCTTATATCGAGTTTGGATTTCATTCCATTGATCAAAGAATCTACCTCATCTAATTGCAAAATAAAAAACCTAAATTACACGCTTGTATGTACAAATTGAGAGAGAGAGGAATTGGACAATGTAACCAAACAGAGGAATTGGACTGAGACAGAGAAAAAGGGGGAGGAGAGAGGGAGAGAGAGAGAGAGAGAGGGAAACTCACTGGACTGGATTCGCTGCTGGTGGACTGCACTGGACTGGAGTCGCTGGTCGCTACTGATCGCTGGTCGCACTGGACTGGAGTCGCTACGGATCGCTGGTGGTGCTGCTCGCTGGTCCGATCGCTGCTGATCGAAGATTCGAAGCTGCTCGCTGGTCAGTCGTTGGTGGTGGAGGCGAGGCTGTGCGACTGGATCGATTTACTTTAAGGCAACAAACAAAAAGAGAAGGGAAAACAAAATGGGAAAAAAGAGGAAAAATATCCCACAGAAATTAAATTAAATCGGCCGATTTAGCAAACTCACCCGGTTCACGGATTCACTGATTTTTGACCGGTTCACGGGTCGATCTCAGGTTTTGTACATAAATAGTTTTTTATTAGAATCGCCCGATTAGATGACCGGTTCATCAAGTTGACTCGTCAGGTCGGACCGGATTTTAAAACACTAACTAATATTATCAGAATCGAACCATCATCGAACCGATTATGGGATTAGGTCAATGATTCACCAGTTCAATCGGTGGTTTACTGGTTGGATCAGTCATATAATAAATATATTTATAATAATTATAAAACATAATAATATAGCTAAAAAGTATAAAATATGTCTAAAATACATATAATTTGTCATAAAATTAATAAAGTTAAGTACAAAAAACACACATGTGCAAATATCAAAGTTGAATTTTAAAACTCCAATTCAAATACATAACAGAAAAATCATTTCAAGTCCAAACGAGACCTAATTCTATCAGCAAACCAGACCTATCTTACACAAGGATTTGGCACAAAAGGATTTTGGGACACCAAATGAATCTAGTTCTATCAGCAAAACAGACCTATCTTACACAAACCTTATGATTTCACATGGTCAAACACAAACCTGGTTCGATCACCAATTTGAAAACTTTTTACCAATCGAATTACTGCAAAACTTTTTACCTTAAAGGGAAGAGATGAGTTTGCTGGGTTTGCCTGATCGCAGTCGATGGAGCCTCCTCGCAGTTGAGGCCCTGATATTGCTGGAGCCGGGTGATGGTGGTGCTACTGTCTCTTGTTCAGTGTTTTGCGATTTAGGACAAAAAAAAATTTCCAAATCCTGTACAAAATATAATTTATTTTATTTATGTAATTTAAATTTTAAATGGGTATTAAACCGTCCGATTTTCTTAAAACCGCCAATTTCCTATTTTTTTTATGAAAATCAGCCGAATTTCTGGTTTATAGTCGATTCTTTACCTTAAGCGGTCCAATTAAAAAACCGAATCGGTTAAGGTCCCAGTTCGAAGTTGAACCGGTCGGACTGGCCAATCCGATCCGATCCGATTCTGATAACACTATTCTCAGCATCCATAATTGTCCCTAATATTTTGTATCTTAGAAGCATGCAATACAAATAGATAATAATCACACCAATAACACTATATAGTGACAGTAATTAAAAAATGCATAAAACACAGAAAATTAAATTTAAAGAAGCATGCTAATCAAAATATCAAGTTGGATCCTACGATCCAATACAGGCAAATCAATCCAGTGTAATATTTTGAATTTTTATAAAAATGAGAATTATAATTAGGGATTAAATTTTGAGGAGGTTTAACTTTTTAATTTTGGACTCAAAACCAATGATAGCATGATAAATTGTGAGAATTACATTCAGGTTTCCTAACGTTTGTCATTTAATCACTCAGATTTCTTGATATTTGAAATATTATATACAGGCTGTTTGAAGTTTGTACGTGCATAACACTTAAACCCCTACTGTAATATACTACATCCAAACCCCTTAAAGTTTGTAAACATTTATTACTTAGACACCTTAAATTTAAAATATTATACTTAGATCGAAAATACTTCAATCAAAGATAAAATATCAAATATTTTAAATTTTACAATTAAAATTCATGTTCTATTGTATCATTTATTGAAATAAAATCAAAAATAAAAATTCAATTTTTTCTTAAAAAATCACAATTAGTATACAATTATATTGTCTATTAAATTTTACTCTAAAGTTAATCCGACAGCTAATATTAACATCTCAAATTTAATAAGAATAATAGACATCTAAGGGTGTGTTTAAAGTGACTTTTTAAAAGTACTTCTACAACTTATAATTACTTATGAATACTTTAAAAAAAATAATATTTGAAACCGTTTCATCACTACCGTCACCCCACCACCATACAACCGCCCCACCACCGCTGTCGCCACCTTACCACCACCATCACCAACACCACCACGTCGTTGTTGCTATTGTCGTCATCCCATCCCCACCACCACCCCAGTCGTTTTTATCCCACCATCATTGTCACCCACTACCGATTGCTATTACCGTCGTTTACCGTCACCACCCACCATAATTTTCATTTCATTCTTATATTTATTACTATTATCACCGTCGCCACCCAACACTACCATTGTTGTTCACCACCCCCCATCGCCGCCCACTATCACAACCCACCACCACTCATTATTGCCCACCATCGCTGTCAGTCACTGTCACCCACACCCATCAAACTTACCACCACCAACCCCCATCAATTGTCACCTCCCACCACTGTTGCCATCCACTCCTACCACACTTATCACCACCACTACCGATATTTTACCACAACCTATCACGCTGTCGTCCAGAAACACACGTTATCGTCCACCACCACCACTGCCAACCACCATAATCGTCGCCCACAAACACCACCGCTATCACTCATGACTGTCACTACCATTATTGTCACAAAAAATCCACCACCAGCATCACCATTGTCACCCATAACTACAACCATCACCATGGTCGCCGCCACCCACCACAATCATCACTATCTCCCACTACCACCGTTCAGCTCTACTATAACCGGTATTTAAATTATTTTTTTTGCTCTATGTTTGTAATTTAATTTTGAATGTGAATGTAAATATATTTATTGTTAACCATTTTTTTTAATATTATGTGCCTTTAGGGACAAACAATAACTAGTAAACAAATAAGATGCATTTTAATACTAATAATTAATTTTTTATTCACTTTTCTTCGGATTTTGGAGGGATTGATTTTGGTGAGTTTAAAGAAAAGCTCATCATCCATCCACTTTTTTATCTCTCTTATTTTCATTCCTTATCAAATATGATATTTTATTTATCCCATCAATTTTTCATACTTTCAACTTTTTACCTTTCTATTTTTTGATCCAAGTATAAGTTGGCAAAGTTGTTATTGGCTCTATGTGTGGGGGATTAAGATGTTGTTGCTCTGGTCTCCAATCTTCGTAAGTCTAAGGTTACTCCGAAGGTTGACTTCGAAAAGAAAGAGGCCCTTCTGGAGAAAATTATGAAGGAAAGTGGCGAACGTTCCAAGAAGGCCGCTAATGCTGGTAGTCGAGCATCCAAGTCTGTTGAGGTTATGCTGAAGGACAGAACGGGCTAAGGGCTAAAACCCTATTTTGTATCACACTCCCATTCTTTTTTCTTTTCCTCTCTTCTTCCATGGTACAATTCCACTGTAACTATATTAGAATCTATGTACCACTGAAAGTATTCAGATATGAGCATTTGTATCTCCTGAATACTGCAGTGGTTTATGTGTATACGTATGTCTCTACAAATTTATGCATGGTCTTTGCTTGACTAGAGTTACCTTCAAGCGATCTCTTTGCTCGACATACTTGCCGAGGATGCCCACTCCAGTTGCAAGAGATTCTTCCAGCATCCTGGATGAGTTGCGCGCAGACCGCATTGCTTGCTCCTCCTCATCAAAAATTCTCAAAATATGAGAGGATTCCCCATTCTAGTACAAAAAGCAAACCCATTAGAAGGAAAAGTACTTAAATGAGAAGAATCAACACATAATATGTGATCATTCATATCATCCAAATAAAGGATTACATACAGCTCTTCCAAGCAATTATGCTCTCTCTTGGGCATCTTGCACCCGTCTTTGATTCCACAAGAAGTACTTATCTAGACTATCTTTAAATGAGTCAGCCTCTTCAGCTACTTATTCCACTTTCCTATTTTCAAAAAAGTATACATAACACATCAAGTGCAAATACAAGACAAGAAAAATGCTATCAGATACAATGTTCACAAGGACTACAGATCCTTGACCAAGACAATGGCCAAAAATAAAAGGAAGGTCACTAGTTTGGGTTTGTATCTCCTAGAGTCAACTTGTTTAATGATGTTAACATTTCAACTAACAAGCAGTTAAAAAAAACAGCTGCAGAAACTAGTCTCCACTATTCTTTCATAGTGCAAAAAAAATTATCTAGCTTCACACAGCAGCTTCTTCACCAAAAATTCTGTAAGTCGAGATGACAATCCATCGCCATCCAAACAGATCGGTCCACACTTCAAAATCGAAGGGACCCACATCAACTATCTCAGCTAATCCCCTGTCGAGTGTTTTTTTTTTTTTCCTATTCCCTTTCTCTCTTTTTACCTACACTTTTCTAGTGAAACCCAAGAAACACTACTTGACCAATCCTTTTGACAAAGTCTACGAATGACACAAATTGCTCTATGAATTCTGATAGAATGACCTCTTTCAACCACAGGGAGAGATATCGTGTCTGTGAGACAATTGAAGTCTGGAGAAAACGATCGATTTAGGGCAAAACTTGCCTAAAATTTTGATTTTATACACCTAATATTTGAACCGCTGGATTTTTTTATCCGGTTCACTATTTTTATTAAAATCGCCCAATTTTTATTGCTTGTTAACGGTTCACATGTAAAGGCAATTTAATAGTTAAACCGTCCGGTCTGGTCCGATTCCGAGAACATTGACATTACGTGAGCACTAGCAGTAGCCCATGTCCGAGGAACAAACAAACAAATCGTAGTTTCAACGGTATAAAAAAAATGAGAATCTAACGAAAAACGTGAAATTGCAAAATAAAGTTTTAATTGGTAATGCTGTTTTGCATGATTTTAGTAAATGTTATAGGCCATGAATAAAGCTTAGATAATCACCACTGTCACTCTATCACAGAAAAGCAAAAAATATTTTCTAGCTAATAACTACTGCGCCACTCAAAAAAAAAAAAAAACAATGATTAATTGATTACCGCTGTCACCCCCACAAAAAGAAAAGCCAAAACCCCACCGATCACACCTGCTGTAGCTCAAAAAAAAAAAAGATAGTAATTATTTTTTATTTTTTGGGAGGGAGTGTTGGAGCAGAGATAATGTGCTAACATTTCAAACTGAAGATCGAACTCTTAAAGTTCTCAGCATCCATAATTGACCCTAATATTTTGTATCTTAGAAGCATGCAATACAAAGAGACAATAATCACACCAATAACATTATACAGTGACCAGTAATTAAAAAATGCATAAAACACAGAAAAATAATTAAATTTAAAGAAATCCCTACGATCTAATACAGGTAAATCGACGTAGTATAACAATCTGAATTTTTATAAAAATGAGAATTATAATTAGGGATTAAATTTTGAGAAGTATTACATTTTTAATTATGTATTCAAAACCAATGATAACATGATAAATTTTGAGGAGTATTTTTTCATTTGCAAAGCCAATCTTCGGGCTTACCTTTCATTCTTTTGCAACAGCGAGAACCGATCTCAGCGAGGAACTCTTGAAACGGGTCAAGCGAGCCACAAATTTTTCTTGTCGTGACTTCAGGGTGCTAATGGCTGAGGAGAAGAGAAAGTTATCCCTTGGTTTTTCTTCTGAAATATTTTTCTAGTCTATATTATTTTTTACTTTGCTTAGAATCCATGAGCCGACCTCTAGATAAGAAGGCTATGTTATCCCTACCAGGGCCATTCTTGATGGAGATAAGGTCGCGAATTCGATTGTTGATCTGTTGGAGCAGACTGGCTTATGATCCTTCGACGGCCTCAAGATTAGTCGGACACCAAAAGACCCCGTATGAACAGCTGCGGATGTCATCGCCGTTCGGGCCTTCAGAGAATCTAGTCGTCTGGGTTCAGAGCCGAGCTACTAGGTAATGGTGGAGAAAATGTAGGAACTGGGCCTCCAGAGATCCGCTCTCGGGCTTGTGAAAAATATGAGTGAGGTATCTTTCAGTTTCCTTATACTTAGCTTTTATTTCTTGTCTTGTTCCCTCTCTGTTCTTCCTAAGCTTACAATTTTTCGTTTTAAACACTCAAGTCGTTGTCGGCTCTATGTGTGGGGGATCAAGATGTTGTTGCTCTGGTCTCCAAACTTCGTAAGTCTAAGGTTACTTTGAAGTTTGACTTCGAAAAGAAAGAGGCCCTTCTGGAGAAAATGAAGGAAAGACGCGAACTTTCCAAGAAGGCCGCTAATGCCGGTAGTCGAGCAGCCAAGTCTGTTGAGGTTATGCTGAAGGAAATGGAACGGGCTAAGGAGTTATAAGAACAAGTTTTCGAATTGACGTTGTCCCTTAGTGAAAAAGAGAAGGAAGTGGTGGCAAGGGAAGAGAGAAACAGTGCTTATGTTCATGCAAGGGAAAATTTATGAACGACATGGGTCGGTGTTACTCTGCGGGGTATGAGACTTTCTGTACTCAAGCTGCTGCCAAGTTTCCTGACATGGACTTTAGCGTGATCCAAAAGGAGGAAGAATGATGTTTATTTTCAAGCTTTTGATATGGTTTTCTATTATCTGTTCATTATATTATAAAACTGGTATTTTTAATATCAATATTCTTACCTTAGTTACCGTATTTGTTCTGAATTTTGACGATTCTGATATAATTCACATTAAAGATTCTGTGACGGTTTACAGTGTGGTTCTAACTTCGTATCCTATACCCTAAAGATCTGACATAAGGGATCCACGGTCTCAGGGCGATGCTCAACAATTTCTAATTACTATAGAGGTATTTTAAATTAAGAAGGGATATAAGCTTCCCCTTTCTTTGAGTCTTTGTTCCGATGTGTTGTCTATGTCTCCTAACTAACGTGGTGGTGGGTTGTTTGTGTGGTGCGTGTTGGGGGAAGAGAGAGATAGTGGTGTTATGGTGGGCAAGACGGTATGTGCGCGATTGTGGAAGGTTGATGGTTTGTGGTGCAGTCGAGGGTGGATTTGGGATAAGTTTAATTAAGCTAATTTAGGGGTTATTTTTTGTAATTAGGAGGATATTTACTTATTAAGTTAACTAAATAAAATAAAGATTTTAATTAGCTTGATTAATGGATGTTCATAGATTGATTAGTGGATTTAGTTACTCAACTTAAGGAAATAAATGATGTTAATTGCTTTGGTTAATTACTTAATTAATGGGATGAGTTAACTTATCTATTGTAATTTTTTTTTTTTTGGGGGTAGGGGTTGGGGGGTTTAAGGAGTTTACAAAATTATTGTAGCTTTTGTGTTAGTTTATTTATCTATATTACTTATGAATGCAGGACATGTGAAAAATTTTTAATTTTATATTTCATCTCTATTTAATAATATTAAGTTAATCATACCCCACATATCCTTATTAATGTCATTATTTTTCATTCCACGTTATATTAAACCTCTTCTCATAACATTAAGTCTCTAGCTATTCACTCTACTTATAACTTTAAATTTTTAATTGAAAAATTAATTCTCTGACACATAATTTATTTATTTAATTCAATTATACATATAATATATAATTTTTATGAGACTAAAAAAAAATATTATTTAAATTTATTCACGTGCAATGTACATTATGCATTGCTAGTCTTTTCAAAAGCATAGACCCTTCCTTAGTGGGGAATTGCATGTGCAGTTTAGAAATTTAGTGATAAATATATGTTAATGTCATTAAAGTTTGACTATTTTTACACAAATCGTAATGGGATGGGCTATTTGTTATATGAGATCAAACCTTCGGGAAGCGCGAGGTCGGTCCATTTGATTTAGTAACAAACTTTAGAGGCTATTTGTTTGAGGTATAAGGGTGGTATAAAAAGATGGTATAAGAAAAATAGTACGTGGACCCTACGTTATATCGTGTTTTTTTTGCATTTTTTAGGAGGTACTATTTTTTGGATCATAATACTGACCCAGAATGAACAATGCAAATAATGTCTCCTATAAGGTGTTATTGCATACCACCACCTACCCGGTGGTATAATATTTCGGTATAAATTTCATGGAGGTATTATATGATAAAAAGACCCAAATGCTCTCGTCTACAATGGCCCATATAAAACCCGAGTTTCTCCCAACAAACCCTAGCCACTCGATCAATCGCCTCCCCCAACAAACCCCTTCACCTACTTGAAGAAGCTGAACAATCAGTCAACCAAATATGAAGACGATGAATCATCCTTCACCTCCCTGAATTCGCTGAACAGTCACTCTGCTCCCTGAAGACGCTAAACCATCGTTTGCCTCCCTGAAGACGCTGAACCATCGTTCGCCTCCCTTCGCAGATCTTGACGCTGGTATCTCCCTAAGTAGATCTTCATGCTGCTGAACCCTTTTTTCTGCAAATGACAAACAGGTACGTTCGTTAAGATCTGTGTTTGTTCTATCACATATATGCAGCTGTGATTTCTACAACAATTTATGTACTTATTTTAAAGGGGGAATGGTCACTGATTTTTGTATTTTTTTTTTTTGAGAATGTTGATGACCGAAAAAAATCCAAAAATATAAGCACTGAAAAAAAGCCAAAAGTATATCATGTATAAACAAATTGGATGAACGCAGCATTCAGTGGAGACCATTTAACTCAATCTCAAACAATCTTACTTAGTTTTTTGGTAAGAGACCGAAAAAACAACAGTTAAATAATGTCGTATTTCCCTGATATATGGCGGTCGAAAATCTCCTTTGTTTTCCATAATGAGAAGGTAATAGTGTAATATCCACAATGAAAACTTAAATGGTAATGATCATTCATAGTTGTAAATCAAAAGAAAAAGAAAACTCCTTGGAAAATCAGGAATATAATTTTTCCAGACATTTATCTAATTAAACAGCATCTTGATTCAAATGTAAAAGTTATTGTAAGTAAATCAGAATTGTTATATTCAAAACTTTTATTCATGATGTGGTAAATTAACGTCGTATTTATTGTCATAATTGTTAGCAACTTATTTTAACATTTTTTTTTCATTCATATAATTGCTCAGTAACTGATATTTTTTCATCTGTCCAATTTCACTTCTTAAATTTAGTATTAGTTAATATACTCCACTCAAATAAGGTACATTGGTTGTTAATGAATGATGGATAAAATTGGTATTAAGTGATTATGCAAGGGTAAAATTGAAAAACAAATGTTAAAATCAATTTTTGTTAACGGATCAGGTCTTTTGTTTGAGTTTGTTTTCATAATTGGTATGGAATGTTGGCCCCATCCATCTTATATCCCACGTTTTAATGTCCAAAATGTTTGTGTGAGTGGCAGTTGTTATGGATGAAGGCAATGATATCAGTGTGTCAATGGTGGTTATTTTGGATAGTGTCCTCTCTGATATGGTTATGATATGCTCATGTCTTATTGCTATGATTGCAAATTTGGTGGAATTTCTAAAAAATCAAAACAACAATATTATCCCAAGCTCAGTCACGCGAACCCGATTGCAAATAGAGCATCTCACTAGACTGATAGGTGAAAGTAATATCACATGCTACAATCAACTTAGGATGGACCGACGAAGTTTTTCTATATTGTGTACACTAATTGAATAGGTTGGTCGGCTGACTCGTACAAGGAATGTTAGCATTGAGGAGATGGTAGCTATGTTCTTGAGTATTATTAGTCATGATATTAAGAATAGACCAGTAAAATTTAGTTTCATTAGATCAGGTGAGACGATTAGCAAGTATTTCAATGCAGTGTTGTTGGCGGTTCTTAGGCTACGCCGATTACTGCTTGCACCCTACTCCAATTATAGAAGAATGTACTAACCCTAAGTGGAAGTTTTTTAAGGTATTTTCACATTTTGAGTTGTCACGTCGCGTAGTATGTAGATATCTAAATATGAATTGATAATATTTTTATTTCATATTGCCTAGAACTGTGTTGGGGCTTTAGATGGGACTCACATTAGAGCAAAAGTGTCACTTGTCCACCAAGCAAGATATAGGACAAGGAAGGGTCAAATTACCACAAATGTGTTGGGTGTATGTGCACCTGACATGAGAATCATATATGTTTTGCCTGGTTGGGAAGGATCAGCAACAGATTCACGAGTCCTTCGAGACGTAGTTACAAGGCGTACTGGGTTATATGTTGAACGGGGTAAGCTATGGTGGAAATTTGTAGCATTAGTATTTTTTTGGAATTGTTTACTAATTGGTGTATACACAATTACGACAGGCACATATTATTTATGTGATGTTGGGTACACCAATGGTGATGGTTTCTTAGCTCCATTTAGGGGTCAACAATACCATCTTGACGAATTTGGAAGTGGAAGGGAAGCTCCTCGTAATGCCGAGGAATATTTTAACCTTAAACATTCATCTGCCCAGAATGTTATTGAGAGGTGTTTTGCTCTCCTCAAGATGCGATGGGCAATCCTTCGAACTGCGTGTTTCTACCCGGTCCCCACACATAATTGAATTATTGTTGCTTGTTGTCTTTTACATAATTTCATTAGAAATGAGATGTCATTTGACCCATTAGAAGACCGCATACCTGAGTATGTTCTTAATGATACTGATGACAATACAAACACTAATGTAGTTGACAGTGTTGAGATGTCTACTGCATGGACTGCTTGGAGGACTCAGTTGGCGAACGAAATGTACGCGGCATGGCAAATGGGTAGCTGATTTTGTTGAGATATAGGGGCGAGCAAGTGGTTATTTTTTCAACCCTTAATTAGTAAACTCAATGGATGTTATGTTTTAATATATGTTGTTGGTACGTTGTCTAGTTTGCTTAATGGATGTAAAACAATTTATTTGGTGGTGTAGTATTGTGCAATATATTCTACATTTGTCTTATTGTAATTCATTTTATATTGCATATT